CTCAACCGCAAGGATCCGATCGCAGTGTGCACCGCTGGACCTCAACCAGATATATAGTTTGCCAGATAAAATGCCAGATAGAATGCCAGGTAGATTGCCAGATAGAATGCTGCAAGAAGATATGCCGGATAGTATGCCAAATAGTGTGTCAGATAGATTGCTAGATACATTGCCAGATAGAATGCCCGAAAATATGCCAGATAGAATGCCAGATAGAATGCCAGATAAAATGCCAGATAGAATGCCAGAAGATATGCCAGATACACAACTGCAAACACAATCAGAAACACACAAGCACAAACACAACAACAAACACACAACCACAAACGCAACCACAAACACACAACCACAGACACAACAACAAAGACAAAACAACAACAAACACACAATCACAAACACACAACCACAAACACACAACTGCAAACACAACCAGAAACACACAACCACAAACACACAACCACAAACACGCAACCACAAACACACACAACTACAAACACACAGCAACAAACACAACAATAGAACCACAAACACACAACCACAAACAAACAACCACAAACACACAGCAACAACCACAAACACACAACCACAAGCACACAACCACAAACACACAACCACAAACACAACCACAAACACACAACCACAAACACACAACCACAAAACACACGACCACAAACACACAACTGCAAACACAATCAGAAACACACAATCACAAACACAACCACAAACACAACCGCAAACACATCCACAAACACAACCACAAACACACAGCCACAAACTCACAAACACAACCACAACCAGAACACAGCACACAGCTACAACCACAACACACAACCACAGCACACAACCCGAGGACCCACAAGCAAATCGAGGACTACAATACTCACGACCATGGCAACAAGCTCCTCGCTATGGCATCAAGACGAATGATTGAAATGTCATGGTGGGGATCACTCGAAGTAAAGTAATTTGTTTTAATTTGGCAGCTGCCCCCTTGCTTGATTGGTGGTGTGGATTCCCAAGCAAAGCAATCCAAAGTATCCCAAAGTGGCTTCCCCCCACTGTGGATTCTAGTCTGAGAGTTGGTTGGTTTCCATGTGTTCCATTCCCTCTTCGAAAACTTCCTCCATGCCCCCAGCATCTCATAAGTGCCCTCAATAGGTTCAACAAAAATACTATATACAAACCCGTGCACCAACAGTGAGCGCAACCACTACTTTGCACAACAATTCCACCAGCAGCAACAAAAGGCTAGAAAACTGGTTGGGCTCAGCATGGCTCAGCTTGCATTGGACAGCCTGTAGTATTGGAGGCATGGAGTCAAAGTTGGCTGCCGAGTCAACGCTGTGGCGGTATTTTCTGCAGGATCAGAAAGGAGATGATGAGGACGATGAGGACGAGGATGGAGAGAAGAAGGACAAGGCCTTTTTGGGATTCCTCAATGACGCGAAATGAAACACTTTTACATTTTAGATTTAATGTTGTTTTTTCATGTGTGTTGGCTTGATGGATGACCCCGAAGCCCAAATGAGACCGACAGGGCAGGATTTGCAATCCCAGGGAGGTGGGGATGTGGACTGCGGGTGGACGTCCGTCTATGAGTCGATTGGTAGCATGGCGCGGTCCTTTGGTGAGTCGCTTCGTACGCAAAGGGTGCTCTGAGGTGTTTGGATGGACATTCGAGCTCCAAAATAGCACCCAGATGCACCCAGGACCCGCAGGCCACAGGACTTCCTTTGACCACTGGATTTACCCTCCTCTTGAGCCACAGACCTTCTCAGGAATCCAGTTCAAAAGATCAGTCAAGCTTTGACCATCCAAACCTCTCCCTCCACTCTTGGCAATCGAACCTCCCAAAGGCGAACAGAACAGTTTCCTTAGAGAGTCTCCTCTAAAAATCATTGTCGGTTTTGTGTATCCATGTCTTGACATGCTTCCACTCCTCACCTCTGTACATAGGTTGTGCAAGTTTGGGAAAGGGAACTGGAAAGATTAGAGCTTGCTGGTCTTCTCCAGGCTCTTCCAGACCATGCCCAGACCATGCTGATGGCCATGGAAGATCGACCACTGTCCAACACGTTTTGGAGAGCTGATTGACATGTCAATGTTTTGATCGCTTTTCAATTTGGGGGGTTGCTCTCAGAGTCTAAGAGTCATGTGCAAACACCTTAGACTTGGATCCCCAGTCAGAGCCTGTGAAACGCAGGCTTTGCTCGCTGTGCGGTGTCCAACAGCAGACCGATGGCCTCAGATGAGCATATCCACAACGGGAACACACTGATGGAGATTTCCTGCATCACTGGGGTAGCGATTGGGGTAGCGATGTGAATCCCATGTTCACAAGAAACCACCTCCGGCACGAGGGACAAGGCCTGCAGAGTGGCCCTTCATGACAGGAGAAGAAGGACGAGGAGGAAGATGAGAAGAGTGAAGAGTCCGAGAGTGAGGAGGACCGGTCGGTTTGCACCGAAGGGGCGGTTGGCTTGGAGTCCGAATGGGCGTCCTTTTGGAGTTGGATATATATATATATGTATTACTGTACATACCAGTAAATATCATAAAAAGGGTTGTTTTTTTTTGTGGGAGTACCACCACCACATATAATATATTATCTATATGTTTTATTTGATTATCGACGTGGATGATTTTCGTCCCAGCTTGCAACAGACATACACGAGAAAAAGTAATGCTACCCATGTGAAACTTTAACAATTTTGGAATGTACGGTTGTCCGGATCCACTTCTGATGACACGGGAAGAGCTATCAGGTTTAACCGGTAGAAAGTTTTTTTGGATGCAAATCCTTGTCCCCTCACTGGATGACACTGGGATTCGGACAAAATCAGATGATCCTGTCGGTTGGCGTTTCGTGAGTTTGCGCGACATCGCGTGTTAAAGAGGAGAAGATGGAGAAGGCGGATGGGAAGGATAGCGAGAAGGACAGCGAGAAGGAAAGTGGCGAGGCCAGCGGGAATTGGCCACGAGGAGATTTAGAATTACATGTGGCTGTGGTCCAGAAGCCCGGGCGACCCTGGTTGAAGGCCCCAATGAACTACAACGGATCTCAAGCAATCCTATGGCTGGGGTAATTAGGGGCTTTTTGGTACATCCAAAAGGCTGGACTTTGGACCCAGGAAAACCTTTGCATTTTCCAAGGCCACCCAATGAACTCAGGGAGCTTGCGTTCAAAACAAATCATGGTCATAAAGGTCACCACTCAAAACCACCTTTGGAACTCCTGGCTGACTCTTCACCATGACGTTGAGTTCCCAGTTCCTCTCAGACTGATCAGGCCTTTGCTGATCGTCTTGACCAGCTAGGTTGGTCCAATATAGGTTTGTGGTAGGATGTGAAGCGCCGACCACCTGAAACACATAAGCTACGTATGTTTCTGTCATCTCACCAGGAGGTGAATGTCAAATGCAGCCCAGCACAAGCTGACAGATGTCAAATGCGCAACAGACCCACACCCATCCACCCTGCCGGTGTGTCCTGAATGTTTTTTTTGATCTAAAACTGTATCCAACCTGAACGCAATGAAGCGTGGCCAAACCTGCAGCATACTTTATCCCACAACAAGTTTACCAAAAGGATATTAAAGGATTCTCAAAGACTTGGGAGATGCAAAGTGCTCACTCATGCCAGGATTCTGCTGTCACGGGAGATGAGAAGGCTTGGGGCCTGCAGCGACATGGGGTCACTGAAGTGCCAGTGGTGAGAGTACAAAGGCCATCTTGACAGGTTTAAACTCATAAACCAGGAGATAATCTGTGGTATGTTCCTGTGTTTGTTTCTTGTTGAGGGCTGAGAGTGGCTACTACTATTGACAATTATATAAGCAGTATTCACTCCTCCATTGTGAAAGGTTGTTTTCTGGCCATGGTTGCCGTGTCTGGCAAGGAAAAGAAAAAGGAAGGAGAAGAGGCGATGGGAGTGAGTATGAAAGCCCATGGGGGTAATGGCTTTTGGACTGACTGAACGAATGAATGAGCAGGTCCCATATGACCAGGAAAATATGGAACGTGAAGGCTCCAGTAAGAGTCCAGGACCATCCGAATTGGATTTGGCTCCACTGTACTTTGGATCTAATAGGCTATCAGAAGGCGCCCACCAGAAGCCCTATAATTAGCCGTGAACGCTGGAGTCAGAAGACCGGGTTTGCCCAGATGGAGGCTCTAAGGAACCGACTACTCGGCCTCAGCTCTTCGTGATCGCTGGGCGTTCGAGACGCACCCCTTAAGTGCTCATCTCATCTCGGCGTGCCTCGGAGGTCCGTACTGCGGGTGGATCTACTCCGCTTGGCTCTTGATCTACTCCTTTTTTGGGGTGGAGGATTTGTAGATCACATCGGAGGAAGATTTTCAGCTTGCGCTTGTGGAGAAAGACAGAATCGTTTTTCAAGAATGATTCGTACAATCTTTTTCAGGTTCTATGTGAGTTTGGTTGGGTTGTCCTTTCTGGGAAGGTTTCTATGCATCGTCTTAGTGATTGTCGTGGCCTTTCTTGTTGTGCAATGCTACAGACTTTTTGGAGGACACAGGTAAATTGAGAAATGGTGACGATTTTCTGGGGTTTGACCTCCACTTGGTCTTGTGGATTCTTCTTGACACGCCTTGACCGGGTGGGTTTGGAAACCGCATTCCTAGACCTCTTCCACAGATGCATCTCTCCTGGGTGCAAGAGCCAGGCAAAAAATAGATGCTGATCCATTCTCCACCCTCAGACAATCATGGATCCAGACTCCTTTGATTTCTAGAACTATAGCTTTCCAGTGGCCTATGTTCCACTTCTTCACGATGCAACACCCGGCACGAGGCGCCCAAAGAGAAGCCCAAAGAAGACCAAGTGGACATGCCCGAGGCTCCCCGTCTTCGGACCAAGTGCCATCGAAGACATCGCGGCTCCGAGCGACGGGGTCGACGGCAAAGACGCGGATCTTGGCGCCAAAAGCCCGACGCCCACCAAAGACCATGAGATGCTTTGGAAGGTCTTTTGAAGTCTATTCCCTGAAGCACCGAACAAACCGAGAAGCCCTGCAACTTTGGCTCAGTCTGTAGCACCAATGTGATGCACTGAACATCACCGGACCCCAACTTATAGGTCTCAAGCCCACTCTCGACTGCACGCACAGCTTTCTGGTCCTTTTTTGCAGGTGGATTTGGGTACGATGGACCGCTGCGACATGATTCGGGCCTGGGCTCGGGCCTCAAAATGGCCACGTATGAGGTGTGGTTTGGATGCTTTTAAATGAACTCCTGTCGGTCTTTGACATGTTCCGGCGAGTGGTGTCGCAGGAAACACCGCCGCGCCATCGGAACACGATCCAACGAGGCGATGGCATCGACCCGCCAAAAGACTCGAGTTCACGTTCAGAGCGGCAGACCTGCTCTCCCAAACACTCCGGAGTCCATGGTACGTGATCTTTATGTCTATTAGCAATGCGGCAATGCGGTCTCCCTTCATCCCCGATGTGCACTCTTCTGTAACAGAACTGACCCTCGCAAAGCCAATAAGCAGCATGTGTTTTTCTATGTGTTTCTTTTCGTTGGGATCCGTTGCTGTTTTCATGATCTTGTGTGGTGGGTGACCGGAGGCTTTGGTGCCACCATTCCTCACCAGTCGCTTCTTCACCGAAGGGTCTCCAGTCTCCGGGCCGATCGCCGGGGGTCGCTCCAACGAGGTCCGCAAGTCCTTGAAGGCCTGGGAGAAGGACCGGCCGTGGAGCGACGACGATCTACGGCACTGGCTTCGTCACCGGCGTTTGGGGAGGGAATTCAGCGAGTCGCAGCGTTGCCGCAGGAATTCAGGGAGCCTTCAGGGAGTTTCTGAGAACTTCAGGGGAATTTTGGGGATTCCAAATAACACCTATAGGCCTATATAGGCCTAGACCCTCAGACTCGAAAGCTATAGGCCATGCTTTGGTGTGGTTGCTTGTGTGACATCTCTAGTGGTTGAGTCATTGAAGCAGTTTCTGTCGCTTAGGAATAGGATTAACATCAAACATCTAGTAAACATGCAACATGTTTCCTTGGCTATGCTTGGCGATCGCAGTCGGCCCCCCCAATCCATGAGAAATCTTGGCAAGTCTGACTTGGTCAGGTGTTGACATAAGACATAAGAATCAACTTAGGATCGATCATAGAAGCCACTTATTCACTATTATTCACTGGGGTATGTTTCCCTGTGTCATGTGGAGCTGTCACGCATGAATAGTTGAAGTGAAATTAGCAAGACATTTTGCTTGCAATGTCAATGTTTGTGCTGTGACAGGAAGTTATTGTATTTGGACTGACCTTTTTGAGTTGAACAATGTGTAGTAGAAGACACCCGTTTTGCATCATGTTACCATCACTGATATGGTGATTGCTCTCAAACATGTCAACTTTGAGGGCTTGTTTGTAAAGGAAGGAGTGTTGGATATAATATTAAGCCTAGTCTTAGTCAAGGTCATCGTCATCCGCCCCAAAGGCCAACAGTGTGCTGATTGACAACCGCAGCCATTGCTCAGCACTGGCACAACAAGCCCAGAGAGTTCTCTCAATCAGTCTTTCTAACAGACATATGGGGATGGGTCAAAACCTGGAGCCCTGGTCCACCATGTAGCTTGACCTTCCAGGTATATAGGTCAACCAATTTGAATTCACATTAATTCTATGAGTTCAAAAGGGTTGATGTCTTCATGTCGATGGTAGATAGATCCATGTTCGTAGAATCAGAAATACATAGATATTGATCTGCTTTGTAAAGGTGCATCTTTTGAGTACATACCATACTCCCAGATACCCGGTGAAACCGAAGGGTCATGGGAAGCGCCTCAGACAGAGTCCCCAAGTATCGTTGGTAGGTCAACCAAGAAATCCTGGTTTTGACCCATCCCCATATGTTACTTTTGTGTTAATTTGATTCCACTTGTGAAGTGGTTGCATTTTTTTGCTTGGTGCACCTCTTGCGTTCAGCCATTGCCATGCCATCCGTGTGCACCTTCCGCGGGGTGGAGCCCTGCATGATGACTCCGGTCAAGCTGCATCGCTGCTCCACCTGCGGTTGGCCATGCTGGATGTGTGGACCTGGCTCAGTTGGTCAAGACTGTCACAAGATTTCTTCTAGAAACCATTTGACTGTCTACAACGACCTTTTGAAACGAAAATGAAACCATTTTCTTTGTACAAAGATTTGGCTCAGAAAAACAATAATCAACCCGTAGATTCTTTGTACAAACCTTTTGAGGGGAACTTCAGTCCACCACGTTGTGACATCCTCCTGACACAGGAAGACTCACAAACCAAAGGGTGCAACGGGTGCCTTCCATGACATGTTGGGGATTGAATTCAATTAAATTCAACAATGTGAGTTAAGCTCCACAACCTCCAACTGGTGCCGAATACCATCAGAGTGTAACTCCAACTCTATGGCTTGGTTCGTACCATTGTCTCCTGAAAAATAAATATGAAAAAAAAAACGACGTTGACGTTGATTTACGCTTTGATGCCAGGTGTGCAATGTTTGAACGCAAGGTGGTGCCCAAGATGTGCCAATCTCAGCTGTCGTGAGTGTTGAATCATGGTTGGCTTGCTTGGACATAGCGGCACAGCCCGTGGGGATCTTGAGGATATAACCAAGTCCCTAGACCTTTGCCCTCCCAGTCTGTCTTGTGGCTCTAAATATCTTGCAATTTGGCGGAAAAGGCAACCTCACCTGGGCAGTTGTTGCGCTTCTCAGTCCGGACCTCCTTGGACTGACAAGTGCTCTTTGCTTGGATAGTGACATCCTTTGACCTGTACATGACGCTTGCAAACAAGGACCGGATCCCAGAGCGAAATTTGTGATGTTAGAAGGTTTGGATTGGCTTGAGGCACTGCAAGTGAAACATGGGGCAACTCAGTGGGCAACTCCACAATGGACCTCACACTTTAAAGCCACTCACCGAAACAGATCGCCTCAAAAGGCACCCAGGGCGGTGGTGTTCAGAGGCTGTCCAGCACGCATTTGATCCAACAAAGCGTGAAAAGCGTTGGTGTGCTGCCACTGCCGAGGTGGGCGATGCCTAGGCGACTGCTTTTCGGATGTGGAGGAAGAGCTACTGGAGGAGCTTCGGTCACTCAGCTGAAGAGGCCCCAGAACCTTCTACTTCCATGGGTGCCGTCTGCAGCATGCATTGACTTCTAAGCTCCATCATGCCTGACAGTCATCAGTCATGGTTAAGTTAGGGGTTTACATTCAGCATCATTCAGCCACATCATGCATGATGCTTGAGAAAAACCAAAGACCATTGCCCCACCAGTATTGGCTGGGTTGGGATTATGGCTTTGTGCATAAGAATATGATGTTCGGGTCATTTATGACAGGGTGGTCGAGTCTTTCAGTGAATTGAACAAGACATCATGTCACCAATGTTTCGAGCTCCCCATCTGATACGGCGGTTGTGTAGGCTGCCTACAGAAGGAACACATGCATGGACCGAAGAAAACACATAGGTGCGGAATTAAATCTTGCGGGTCTATTCTTACATGGAGTGTTGGGAATAGAGCTTCAACCTTTCAAGTCGTTGTGCACATGTTCAATCTTTGTCCCGGCTTTACCAGTTACATATGAGTCCCTCCAAAGACATGAGCCCATGCTCCTGCAATCCCATCCAGGACTAGTACCCTCCGGGGCAGCTGACCCCCGTACCCTGTGGAGAAGATGGCATCACATCCCACGCCGGATGGTTTGGAGTCCTTTTTTGTGCTTCAATCTTTGTGGGCAACGACATGGGGATGGTTTCCAACATCCCATAAACCTTCCACAACATGGTTTTGAGTTGGGATGCGTTCTACAAGTTGAAGCTGCTTTCTGTGCCCACGGCCTGCAGTATGGCACCCGAGGATGGAGTACTTCCGCTCTGTTCCGACGGACGATGGAAGCGCTTCATCCCCGACTGACGATCACGATCGATCCGCTACTGCCCAATCGACCGGCGGGTCAACGACCGAATCGACGGGCGCGATCTCCCAAAAGACATCAAGTCTCGACGAATATTGCGACGCTTCCCCAGCTGAACGAACCTTCACGGACGAAGGTGGGTTGAAGCTCAGTCTTGACTTGGAGATGTTTGGGTTGTTCTTCCAGTTGAACAGAAGACGTTACATATTATAGTGTTTACCTCAATTATAGAAGACATTGCAGCTATATATCTTTTGTTTGACATGTATCCGGGAAGGTGCCCGGCAAACAACTCAAATAGATATGTTGATTTTCCATAAACGCCGTCCGCAGGGATCGCAATGGTTCGCAGGAGAAAGAACCGCCGCGCACCCGTTCGTGTCGGTAGGACCCGACCTGGTGGTTTTGTTATTGGTAGCGGAGCCCTGGAATAGCCAAGGCTCCGCTAGGTAGGAACCTTCGGATCCATGAACGCCATGTCGTCATCAGCGGAATCCACTGGTCTGCGCACTTTCAGTGGTGATACAGAAGATGCCAAGGAATACAGAAGATGGCGCACCTGGGTGGTCAATAAAATGCTGACGGGCAAGGCATTGGAATGCGCTGAACACCTTGAACCAACCTCCTACCACAGGTCTGGTGGTGAAAGGGTGATCTTTGATATCCTTGATCAACGCTTCCCCCCAAAACGACCAGTCCGATGAAATGTCGGATATTTTGACCGAGGTGTTTCAACTTCGTGCTCATGACGGTGAGTCGCTGAAAGCCTGGGTATCACGGGCAACGGAACTTTTTGACCGGGTTCAGAGGAAGGTGAACGTATCCTTCCCTGAAGAAGCACGCGGTTGGCTGATACTCCATCGTGCTGGACTTTTAGAGCAGCTGTTCTGTCCCGATCCCTGGGACTACTCAACGGGGAAGAGATTGGCAAAGCAGTGCGTTCGTGCTATCCTGAGTTGATTGTCGGGAAGAAACGGCCTCCTCATGGTGCTGCCGTGGTTGAATCCGATGATCAACAACAAGCAGAGTTGGATGGTACTGATTCTGTCATTGCTGAAATGGAACAACTCCTAGCCAGATGTGACCGAGGCACTTGCAGTGTCTTGGAAAGAAAGACGAAAAGAGATGGTGAACTTGCGCCGTGCTCGGAAATTCACCCAAGCCTATGACACCAAACGGAGCTTCAAAGTCGAGATTGAAGAAATGAAGCGCCGAACTCGGTGCAATCGCTGCGGCCAAGTTGGTCATTGGGCCCGAGAGTGCAAACAGCCCAAACGGTCGGGGAAAGGCAACAAGAATGCCCCTTCCACCTCCGGTGCCTCTTCTGGCCGACACACTGAGACAGGAGCAGCCTTGATTTCATTGCTATGGTGTCACCTGCCACCTCTCCGTGGTTGTCATTGGATTTGCTGAGACAGCGCTGTGAGGAGAAGGCAACAGTAACAGCTGAACCTGTTGTATCCTCTCCCACAATCCCTTCTGTCGAGCAATTCCTGGCCGATCAATTATTGGTGCACCCACGCTAGAGGAATTCAAAGAGCTTTGGCGTGATCGGGCTTGGACATTGCCAATCCCCTTGACTGAGACAAACCATTTCAAGTTTGGTAACAGGCAAACGGAGACCACTCACCTTTCTGCGCGGGTTCGCGTGCGCCTTGGTGGCCGTTCAGGTACAATCAAAGCAGCAATTGTTCAAGGCACTGCGCCTCTGTTGATTTCGCGCAATGCCCTGAAGACATTGCAAGCTGCAACTGATTTTGCTGCAAATGAACTGACCCTTTTTCAAGAGCGCATCACAGTTCCACTGGTGACCAATGAAGCAGGACAATATACCGTTGACCTGCTCGGAGAACAAGATGTTTCCTTGAAGCCTTTTGCCGAGGTTATGAACCTCGAAGCCGTTCCAGGTGTTGATTGTTCCACTGCCGTCTCCGCTCCTGATGCCCCTGCGGATGATGATGCATCTATGCCTTCGGTTCAAGCATCGGCAGATCCATGCCTTCCTTCAGGCTCGAGTAGTTTAGTTTCATGCAGTCGTTCTGATTTTGGTTGTCCCAAGTGCCCTCAATAGGTAAGCAAGGACCTTCCTGGCAGACTGTCCGCCACCGCCGTGTGATCGATAATCAACAGGCGCATTGATCCAACCCGAGGTAAGAAGCACTATATGTTCGTAAGCTGCCAGCTCATGTCCTTAACATCCAATCGTGCTTCTGGAAGCCTCCCTGACCGTGGAAGCTCTTCCTGTTCAACAGCTGCGCCGATTTGAGAGACAGGTTCGAGATGGGACAAAACAGGGCAAGATCAAAACATGTTCGTACATCGACGGCAAACCGTCTCTGGTTGCAGAAGTGTTTTCACCTCCTCGGTTTGCACCGCAAGTCGAACAGCTCGGATTCGCCGCTCGCTCGTATGACTCGTATGTCGACTTCCGACGGAAGACAGGCAGAGATCAGGTAGCCAGGGGAACTCAGAGAGTCACCTCCTGAACTCATCCTCTGTCCACCCTGCGCGGATGAAGGAGGTTGGTTTAATCTGAATGCTGCTTACATGTCACCGACTGAGCTCACTCGTAGAATAGCCCAGAGTCGTCTCATTTCCAGGACGTGCTCATCGGACGCAAAAACGTGTCCAGACTGATAAGCGCATAAACGTGCCAGGACAGGGCCAAAGTGCAGCTGGAAAAGCTTCCCTTAACCTTTCGCTGCGCGCCAGTCGAACTCAGCACCACTTGCATGGACCTCTTGCGAGACAGCGTTCTTTCTTAAGGGACACCTGCGCCTTCTCCGCGCGTCGCCCACCCTCTCTTAAAGTTGAAAGGCGCAAGGTCAACGTTGGTGGCACGTAGAAGGCAGGAACGCAAAAGCTCCGACATCAATCCATTATTATGAACAAATCGGTTCTGTGTGGTGTCAGTAGATCTTTGCTTGCGCATGAAATCCTTGCTCTGTAAGAGACGTGCCAAAACGTAACGTATCCCCGCGTGCCACCAGACTCATGCAGGGGGTAAAAACGTGTTCGAACGTGTCCAGGGTAGTCTCTGAAATTCATCTTGGTTCAGGGCTCGTTTGGTGAAACGCGTTCACTTCAGAACTGAAGGCGAGAAGGCGACAATGCTCGGGTAACGCGGTTTAGGGATGCAAGCCCACAAACACCCGCCAAAACACACTCACACGCACAAATATACGCATGTATGACACAACTCCCTGTCTACTCCAAAATCTCCAAACAGTTGTTCGGCTCGCAATTCCACACGGTAAAGCTTTTCAACAGCAAATCGCAACTCATGGTAGACTTGGGCGTGCGCAGGTTGTCAGCCATAGCATTGTAAGTTGGTCAGTGGCGCCAACCTGGCGCATATGGTTTATGGCATATGAACAGACGCATCAGCGCTATGTGTCTGGTTAGGCGCCATGTGTCTGGTTAATAAACGTGCCGTGTCTTGACCGTACTCAAGAGCCACAACCGGACGCGTATATATGTATGGCAACGTCCTGGTTGTTTTTGCGTTGAACTAGTCGAACAACAAATCGCACTGGGAAAACAAGCATTGTTGGAACACCCTCATGGCTCCAGGTTGTGGAGCTACCCTGAAGTGCAAGAAGTGCCACATGTGTCGCTATGGTCTTCGACATGCACCTTGTTGCTATAGTGAGAGATGCACAGATGAGTGGCCTAGCTAGAGAATGCCCCGGGTCAAAACATCCAAAACACTGTTGTCGTCAGGATCATGTTCAGGAGTGGGTTCCATCTGTACCTTTGCGGGGCAATACACCCCTCAATTCGTGATGCAAACGGTTCCCATGTTTGTCCAAGCAATGTACTGCCAATCTGGTGGAATATCAACGTAACATGAAACCCCGTCACAAGTGCAAGAAGTACTCATGTCCAAGGCT